GGCGACAGAACGAGACTGTCTCAGAAAAAAAAAAAAAAAAAATGCAAATTGTACAGCTTTCCCATGAGATGCAAATTCAGTAAGTATGGAGTGGAACCAAAAATTTGCATTTTAAGGAAAACATCGGCAGGGTACAAGGGCTCACTCGTGTAATCTCAGCACTTTGGGAGGCTAAGGGGGGGGTGGATCCCTTGAGCCCAGGAGTTGGAGACCAGCCTAGGCAACATGGCAAAAAACCCTTTCTACAAAAATACAAGAAAAATTAGCCTGGCACTGTACGCACCTGTGGTCCCAGCTACTCAGGAGGCTGAGGATCGCTTGAGCCCCAGGAAGCGGTGATTGCAGTAAGCCAAGATTGTGCCACTGCACTCCAGACTTAGTGACAGAGCGAGACACTGTCTCAAAGGAAAAAAAAAAAAAGGGTAACACTGAAATAGTTGGCCTAAGAACCCAGTTTGATGGAGGAATTTGAATGTTAAGCTAAGGATTTTGGACTTTATCCTACAAGTAGAAAGGTATTGAGGGTTTCCATGTATGAACATTATGCATTCCCGAGGGATATTTTTATTTGATTTTTTTGAGACAGGGTCTCATTCTGTCACCCAGGCTGGAGTGCAGTGCTGTAATCACAGCTCACTACAGCCTCAGCCTCCCAGGCTCAAGAGATCACCCACTTCAGCCTCCTGAAGAGCTGGGACTACAGGCTCTTGCCACCATGCACTGCGAATATTTTTACTTTTTCTGGAGATAGGATCTCACTATGTTGCCCAAACTGCCAAGGGATATTTTAGAAAGACTATTCCGTAAGTAGGTGCATGATTGTGATACAATAAAAACATCTTATTTGGCTTTTATCCCTAGTTCCTGACACCCTAGCTTCTGAAACCCTTGGCATTTAGAAGGGATACGAGCATACTTTGTTATTCGTAACAAGCCCCTTTCAACCATACCTGAGTTTATGCTAATAAGGTGGACACTTCATGGGTCCCCAGATAGTTTCAGGATGGGAAATGATTTCCAGAGGAACCAACCATGTAATTAGAGTTGGAACTTTCAGTCCCATCCCCTGGGAAGGGAAAGGGTGTAGCAATTGAGTTCAATAACCAATGGCCAGTGATTTAATCAGGCATGCCTATGTAATAAAAGCTTCATTAAAAAACTCTTAAAATGTTGGTGTCTGGAGAACATCTAGGTTGGTAAACACTCTGAGGTGCTGGGTAGGTGGCACACCATGAGGCGGGAGAGCAGCTCTGTTCACTTCCTCCCATTCATTGCTTTATGCATCTTTCATTTGGCTGTTCATGAGTTGTTATTTTTTATAATAAACTGACATCAATGTAAACCAGTAAATTGGCTCCCTGAGTTTTGTGTGCTCTTTTAGTAAATTATCCAACCTAAGTAGGTGGGGGTCATGGGAACCCCTGATTTATAGCCAGCTGGTCAGAAGTACAAGTGGAAACCTGGGACTTGCAATGGGCATCGGAAGGAGGGGCGGTTTTGAGAGACTAAAGCCCCTTAACTTGTGGGGTCTGTGCTAACTCCAAGTGGTTAGGGTCAGAATTGAACTGAATTGTAGGACAAAGACACCCAGTTGGTATCAGAACTGGGAGTGGGTGTGAAAAAATCCCAAGCTTTTGGTGTAAAAAGGTATGTTGAAAACTAAAGAGTTCACAAGCAGCCGAAGTCATTGGCAGGCTTTGCTCTCCTGCATACCTCCAGAAGAAATACTGCCTGCACAATAACACTCATATATGTTTAATGTGAATAAACTGTGGCAAGAATAACACGAAAAGATACAATAGGTGTAGCTATAGATAAAAAAAGGAATATATGGATACATAAGACATTCTAATGGGGGAAACACAGGTTCCCTTAATAGCTGATACTTAGTTCAAACCAAAAGACTAAGCTTTTGGAAGTTTTAAGGTTCTACTACATGACTTTCTTCTCCTTTTTTTTGAAACACGGGTCTCCCTCTGTCACCTAAGCTGGAGTGCAGTGGCATGATCATGACTCACTGCAGCCTCCATCTCCCTGCCTCAAGTGATCTCCTACTTGGCTCCCAGTAGCTGGGACCACAGGAGTGCATCACTACACCTGGCTAATTTTTGAATTTTTGTGAGAGATGACATCTCACTATGTTGCCCATGCTGGTCTTAAACACTCTCGGGCTCAAGTGATCCTCCCACCGTGGCCTCCAAAGTGGCTGAGATGACAGGCGACAGCCACTGCATCGGGCTTCTTTTCCATCTTTAAAATTTCCAGGGTTCACGCATTGTACACTATTCCAATAACCCTTAAATAATAGTGTCTCTAAAAATTCTTTTTTTTTTTTTGAGACGGAGTCTCGCTCTGTGCCCGGGCTGGAGTGCAGTGGCCGGATCTCAGCTCACTGCAAGCTCCACTCCCGGTTTTATGCCATTCTCCTGCCTCAGCCTCCCGAGTAGCTGGGATTACAGGCGCCGC